TCCCCTAACCAAATTTTTCGTGGTTGTTTTTTTTTAAAAAAAACCCCCCCCCCCCCCCCCCCCCCCCCCCGAAAAAAAAAGAAATTTTATTACAGATAAGTCAACCATAATTCCACCCTGGTGTCTAAAGTTCCCGCCTTTTAGATCATCATTTACTGAACAAAAAACCCTTCATGGATCATCCACACTCATACATATAGGCTACATACGATATCACGTCTCCGCTCTAAATTTCTCGACGAGTGGTACGTTTGTAAGATGTGAACTTTTCAACGCCTTTGATTTCTCCGAACATCGAACTACAGCAAGGCGTGATTTGGTAGACAGGACGAACAAGGCTGCATCAGATGGGATCATATCGAACTGTGATTTCACCGATGCTTTTGTGTCCCTGATCATCTATTAGATGTGCATCCGAATTTGCTAAACAAGATTTTGCGCCTGTATTCTGGGGCTGTCCGATAGCCTTTGTGTTCTGTTGAGCCAGCCTTTCATTGTTCAAATTCTAATCAGTGTGTTTAAAAAACAAGGATGAGTTACAACCTGAATATGATAGGTGATGTATGTCACAGATGAAGGAAAGCAATAATTTTGACAGGCAAAGGGAAGGAGCAACGATTCGAGTGATGTAACGCTTTATTATAATAAATATGCTAAAGAACCCAACGACACAAGCTAACAATTAAGACTGTAGTATTTGCGCCTCAATAGTTTGTAAATTTTTATCCCATTTTAAAAGAAGAAGGATACTGTAATTTCTTGTTACCTTTCCAACCTCCGTAATCCCGCCGGCTTTCTTGATTTTTAAACTACTGGTAGGCTGTGTTTCACGACTAGTCAACATAGGGATCAAAACATTAAGTTCATAGACAGTCCCTATCAGACAGCCCTCCCCCCCCTGCTTTTTCTCGCTCTCTCTCTCTCTCTCTCTCTCTCTCTCTCTCTCTCTCTCTCTCTTTCTCTCTCTCTCTCTCTCTCTCTCTCTCTCTCCCCTCTCCCCCCCTCTCTCTCCCCCCCTCTCTCTCTCTCTCTATCTATCTATCTATGTATGTATCTATCTATCTATCTATCTATCTATCTATCTATCTATCTATCTATCTATCTATCTATCTATCTATCTATCTATCTATCTATCTATCTATCTATCTATCTATCTATCTATCTATCACTATCTTTTACTCTTTCTCTCTCCGTCTTACTCCCCCAGGCCCACCCCATCACATTCACCCCCTCTTTTTTTCACACATTCCCTCCCATACCGTAGCTCACTGCCCAGCCCTACTATATTATTCCATTGTAAAGAAAAAACCACAATTCACGCTGTGTGACCAAAGTTGGCGCCATTTTGCATGTTCCACTGGGCGTGCTGAGTGCGGTGCCGCAAATAGAGAGAGAGAGAGAGAGAGAGAGAGAGAGAGAGAGAGAGAGAGAGAGAGAGGAGAGACCATTTTTGTTGTAAGGTCCTTGCTGGAGTAGCAGATATATCCCCAAATTTATACCCCGACAAAAAATGGAAATGAACTGGTCACATTGGCAAAGAGAAAGACACCAGACGGACACAAAGATGCTCTGAATGGAGAGCACTGTCGGAAAAAAGTTCAAGAGAAAGACCAGAAAGATAATGGCAAGATATGAAAATTATAATAATACACACGTATTTATTTTGCAGCAGACGACAACGCCTAGAAAGAATAAAGAAAGAATTTAACTTTTTTTCCCTTTATTATTAACTTACTTTTTCAGTTTCAATGAGGGTAGAAAAATGACTTACAGCAAAACGTCCTTATGAAATCAATTATTACCTAAATCTCTCTGCCCGGTCAATATCAGTCGTAAGACGCACTGTTCTATTATCAGCTATGAGGCTCGAAAGTAAAAAAAAAGTGACTTTCCATGAAATTTATGTTTTTTTAGACGTATTGAAATTTTGATGTCTTCGCTTCATATAAGATAAAAATAAACAATTTTAATCGACTATATATATATATATATTTTTAAATTTTGATTTATTTTGGAGATATGTGTGGTTTGTTGTGAGCTTTGGTGACGAGATAAAGGAATTTGGACCTTGCTAATGTGCAGCTGTAAGATTATTTTTAGAATCATTACCTCAAGGCCACCTTTGCTTCAACCAAAGATACTCCACATTGGAGTATCTTTGCTTCAACGGTTTTCATTCGCAACTATTTTTAGATTGTGACCCTTTTCGAGCATGAATGGTCTGAAATGTAGACAACTCTGATTGGTAAAACGGAGCAAAAACGATAACTTCTAGCTCACTTCAAACTTGTTTACGTAAACAGCTGGCTGTGTGGGCGTGCCCTGCTAGCTGTTATCGTCTGTTGATCTTTCAGTTTTACACCTGGGTTGACTTTTTAAAAAAATTCATTTTATTGTGTTTTAGTGCTTTTAAAAGATTTATTAACCTTCCTCCAGATCTCTCAGAGAGGACTCCTTACCAAGAGGCCACCAAGGCGGTCTATGTGCATGTGTGTGTGTGTGTGTGTTGGTGTGTTAGTATATGTGTGTATGTGTGTGTGCGTGTGTGTGTGCTCGTGTGTGCGTGTGTGTGTGTGTGTATTTGTGTGTATGTGTGTGTGCGTGTGTGTGTGTGTGTGTGTGTGTGTGTGTTGGTGTGTTAGTATATGTGTGTATGTGTGTGTGCGTGTGTGTGTGCTCGTGTGTGCGTGTGTGTGTGTGTGTGTATTTGTGTGTATGTGTGTGTGCATTTGTGTGTGTGTG